AAGGAAAAATTGCTTCAAGGCCCCAAACTTGAAAAAACAATGTGGCCCAGCCCCCTGTAGTTTGGCCCATGTGGCTAAGCCCTTAAATTTTCAAAAAAATGTAACTGGGCCCTAAAAGCAGTTCTCACACCCGTATTTGCACCCAGCCTCCCTAAAATACCCCCGCCTTCAACTCCGTGCCTCGAAAACGAGATCCGATCGCTGGCGAAACCTCTCCGTCGCATTTAAGGCGAGATGATGGCCGTTTTGGGGGGAAATTTTGGCGCGCTCCCTCCGTTATATCTCCTGTTAACCCACTCGGCTTTGAAGAGAGTGTATTTATGGTGCAAAGGGCAGATCTTTGCGGTTAGGGCTTATGATCTTCAGCCCCCTACTTGTCCTAAAGTGCCCTTCATAACTCCTCTTAAATCCCCTTCATTTATGGCGGAGAGCCCCCTTATTTGCATGGTTTCCTTGGGTGAGAGAGCAGTGTTCTCAAGGGTAACTTCTGCAACCTCTTTTTTTGAGTTTAAGTTCGACGTGGCTGAGAGGTTGAAGGTTCCTTATGATGCGCTATCAATGGTTTATAAATCTGAAAGGATCCCTGATCTGAGTTTTGAGATCGAGAATGAGGATGATATGGAGTGTATGGTGGAGCACAACCGTAATATCGGGTGTCTGGAGATCCATATTCGAGCTAATATAGATGTAGATGTTTCCAGATGTGAGAACACCCCGAAGCAACCTCCTGAAATGTAAGTTATATTTACACTTAATTTATTTGAAAACTTATGAATTGCATAGAGCAGGTTAAATGTTAGCTTTTAACTGATATATGTTAACTTTCTACCGAAGGTTGTTAAGCTTTAGGGCATATTTGTTAACTCTTAAGGGTACTGCATTATTTAAGTACAAGTCCTATTTGTTATTTTAAGAAAAACCAATTATATTTGTGCAGCATTATGAATACACTGAAGCCAAAGTTTATTGATAGTACTTCTGCCGCAAACCATGGTTCTGAAAGAATTCCAATTGATAATCCCAGTGGTAGCAGTGTAGTGCGTTCTGATGACATTATTAACAACACAGTAATGATTCCTGGTTGGTGGCATAATGCATTAACTGAAGAGGGTCAAGAATTTGAAAGTGCTGAAGAATTAAGGTTGGCGCTGACATACTATTCTCTGGCCAAAATGTTTGATTATGAGTTTAAAAAGAACGAACCAAAACGTATCCGTGTATATTGCCGATATAAAGAAACTTACGAGTGCCCATGGATGTTGTTTGCTTCACCTGTTAAGAATGCAAATAGACTATCGATCAAGAAGTTTGTTAATGAACATACTTGTGGGCAGTACGGGCAAAATACAGGTCGTTCAAGGGCATCCCGTAAATTCATTGCAACACAGTTACAACCACTCCTGAAGGTCCGTCCAGAAATCCGACCCGTTGATGTGCAAAAGGAGTTCCTCACAAACTACGGCCTTAGAATTGATTACAGTAAGATATGGTGGGGGAAAGAGAGAGCACAGGAGAAGCTTTACGGGGATATATATGAGTCGTATGATCAACTACGATGGTAAATGCTGAGCTTTATTATTAACTTGTTAAGTTTCAAAGTTTGCTTGTTAAAACAAATAGTTAACATGTTCCTTGTTAAGTTCATTGATAACATTGATAACATGTTAAGTTTCACGACTAACATGTTAACTCTTGTAAATAACATGTTAACTTTTGTTAAGTTACCCCAATAATGTGTTAGCTTTTTTTGGTCGCTTGTTAAGCTACACGGATAACATGTTAACTTGTTGGTTTGTTTCTTCTTACACGACTAGGTATGAGCGCATGGTAAAAGAGACAAATCCCGGCAGTTACATACATGTTGACCAGAATGAGGGGAGGTTTTCGAGACTCTTTGTTTGTTATGCTGCATGCATCAAAGGTTTCTTGAGTGGATGCAGACCCCTTCTATTTTTGGACGGTACATTTTTGAAGGATCGATATAAAGGTATTCTCCTCTCGGCCATAGCATACGATGGGAACCAAGGTATATTTCCCTTAGCGTATTGCATATGTGATCAAGAGAATTTGATGAATTGGAAGTGGTTCCTCCAAGGTCTATGGTCCATACTTTATGAGAGGGCTGACCCTTACAATCCTCCCCACCAATTGGTTATAATTTCTGATGCGGACAAAGGAATTAAAGAATCAGTAAAAGAGTATTTTCCAGAAGCTCTACACTCGAGGTGTGTTCTACATCTTGTTGAAAATTTCAGGTTAAAGCTTAAGGACTTGGGTATGAAGTCGAAGGACACTCATGTTCTTGGGAACTTACTCCAAAGTGCTTGTTATAAATACACAATAGCAGAATGGAATGAGTACATGAAAGAGATATATGACATGGATCCAAGGGCATAATGAAGTCGAAGGACACTCATGTTCTTGGGAACTTACTCCAAAGTGCTTGTTATAAATACACAATAGCAGAATGGAATGAGTACATGAAAGAGATATATGACATGGATCCAAGGGCATACAACATTGCTATGAACTACTCTCCTGATCAATGGGCAAATGCATTCTTCCCGGGAATAAGGTAACGTTATTTGGCTGTTCTATATCTATGCTAATGTATGAACTTATGCTATTTAGCATGTTATCTTTGGATTTGTTAAATTCTATATCAGAGCTGTTAACTATATCAGAGTTGATAACATGTTAAGTCTTGTTGATAATATGTTGAGTCTCGTTGCTAACATGTTAACTCTTGTTGGTTACGTGTCAACTCTTGTTGATAACATGTTAACTCTTGTTGATAACATGTTAACTCTTGTGGGATACATGTTAACTCTTGGGGAGAACATGTTAACTCTTGTGGGATACATGTTAACTCTTGTGGAGAACATGTTAATTCTTGTGGGATACATGTTAACTGTTAAATGTTAACTATTATATGTAAACATGTTAACTGTAATACAAAAAAATTAACTCTATTCAATTATTTGTGTCATCCCTTACATGTTAACTCTTGTAGCAAACATGTTAACTTTTATCGCTAACATGTTAACTCTTGTTGATAACATGTTAACTCTTGTGGATAACATGTTAACTCTTGTGGGATACATGTTAACTGTTAAATGTTAACTATTATATGTAAACATGTTAACTGTAATACAAAAAAATTAACTCTATTCAATTATTTGTGTCATCCCTTATTTATAACCTGTTAACTCTTATCTGTTCACATTTATTATGTTAACCCTATTCAATTATTTGTTAACCTTTATTTGTGACCTGTTATAAAGTTATATATAATTTCAGGTATGGGCACGTAACATCTAATGTCGCTGAGTCTTTTAATAATTGGATAAGGGAAGCTAGAATGCTACGGATTCTGCAAATGGTTGAGCATATCCGTAAACAGATAATGGTTCGAATGAGTAATCGCCGGTTACTTGCAGATAAATGGGTTGGATATCTCTGTCCACAAGCAGAGATGGTGCTTAAAGAAAATATAGAGAAAGGTCGTCCATTGGATGTTAAGCAAGCTGCAGCTGACATATTTGAAGTGCAAGCACATAAAACTACCCGTGTTGATTTGGAGAAGAAGACATGCACTTGCCGTGCTTGGGACGTCATGCGGATTCCGTGTAAACATGCATGTGCAGTCATCTCGTACATGAAGAGAGACATTTACCAATATTGCGATTGGTTTATGTCCATAGAAGCATTTAAAAAGAGCTATGACCCGATTCTCTATCCTATACCAGATTATGAGAAACGAAGCGTGCCAAGGGATGAGATCGAGCTACTTCCACCACATACTATCAAAAGAAAGGGGAGAAATAAAACAAGACGTATCAACAATCGAACAGTGTACAAACGACCTTTGAAATGCTCTCGATGCCACTCCGAAGGCCACAACCGCGCAACTTGCAATGAGCCGATCGCCGATTGATATGAGTTGCGGATTTGAAGAAACACTTTTGGGTGTATGTAATACTTTTGTAGTTAATTGTTTATATGAACTGAAACATATCTGGGTGTATGTAATACTTTTGTAGTTAACTGTTTATATGAACTGAAACATATCTGGGTGTATGTAATACTTTTGTAGTTAACTGTGTATATAAACTGAAATATATCTATGCCAATGTGAATTATAATGAAAATGTTATCTTACTTGGGTCTGTAAAGTTGCTCAGTTAGATTGTTAAGTTACAGTTAACATATAAAATTTTCTTGGTAAGTTATTAAGCTACACCTATTACATGTTAACTCTTGTAAATAACATGATGGATAACATGTTAACTCTTGTTAGAAACATGTTAACTCTTATAGCTAATATGTTAACTCTTTTGACAAACATGTTAACTCTTGTGGCAAACATGTTAACTCTTGTAACAAACATGTTAACTCTTGTTGCAAACATGTTAACTCTTGTGGAGAATTTGTTAACTCTTGTGGCATACATGTTAACTCTTGTTGAGAACATGTTAACTTTTGTTGAAATATGTTAACTTTCTTTGATAACATGTTAACTCTTGTGGGATACATGTTAACTCTTGTGGTATACATGTTAACTCTTGTTGAGAACATGTTAACTCATGCTGATAACATGTTAACATGTTAACCCTTGCTGATAACATGTTAACCCTTGTTGGTAACATGTTAACTATTGTTGCTAACTCTTGAGGATAACATTTTAACTTTATCCGTATACGGTATTATTTAACAAGTGAACCTGACATGTTATAAACTTTCTCCATATTTAACAAGTGAAGATGACATGATATAATTGTTAACTTACGAATCTAGCATGTTATAAACTTTCTCCGGGCACTAGTTCATTAGCTGTTAATACACTACACAAGCTGAAAATTATGAAGATTGTTTACAGTTGTTTATCTACATAGCATTCTTCCTTTGGCTGTAACATTTGCGGCTCATGCAGGCGCTTTCAATTCTGGGGCCTCCACGGCTATTGTGCCCTTTCTATTTCTGAATTCCCAGCCTTCTTTTATTAGTTCCGCAGCAAGCCTTGCACGCACTACCGCAGACGAATCATCGGCGGGCGTAACATGCCGCACATCATCTTTTTGTAGGATAGCCCGTACATAAAGGTATACGTATATCCCACAATCGTAGCTACAAATAACAAAACATAAATACATTTTAACGGTAAGTTTTGGAGACGAAAATTCTTTAATAAAATAAGGTTCATATGTTAATGTACCTTCCCTTTTGAGACTCGCATGGGATTTCCTTATATTTAAATGCCCTACACACCTTTTCCAGTTCGAATGCGGCCTTCATATGGTCCATGAAGTTTATAATTTTGTTAACGGGCTCAAGGTAAGCTTCGGGAGTTACCGAACTATAGTGCAACGCTAAATTTTCATTCAATCTAACTTCGGCACAATGCCAATGGTCATGACGAACAATTGGAAATATGAGTATTGATCGGCCAGCGGCAATATGTTGTTTTATATAAAGTTCATATAGTTCATATAGCCGCAGATGAGCCTGGTCTCCATAGAGTGAATGTTGTTACACAAAATTAACACATTAAGAAATAGCGGCCTTCAATATGTGAACATGATTCAAGTTCATATAGTTAACTTTTTTGGAAAACATGTTAACTCTTGTGGAGAACATGTTAACTTTTGTGAAAAATATGTTAACTCTTGTGGAGAACATGTTAACTTTTGTGAAAAATATGTTAACTCTTGTGGAGAACATGTTAACTTTTGTGAAAAATATGTTAACTCTTGTGGAGAACATGTTAACTTTTGTGGGATACATGTTAACTCTTGTGGAGAACATGTTAACTCTTGTTGAGAACATGTTAACTCTTGTGGGATACATGTTAACTCTTGTGGAGAACATGTTAACTCTTGTGGAGAACATGTTAACTCTTGTGGGATACATGTTAACTCTTGTGGAGAACATGTTAACTCTTGTTGAGAACATGTTAACTCTTGTAGAAAACATGTTAACTCTTGTGGAAAACATGTTAGCTTTTGTTTAAAACATGTCAACCCTTGTTGCTAACATGTTAACTCTTGTAGATAACATGTGAACTTTTGTGGCTATATGTTAACTCTGATAGATAACATGTTAACTTTTATGGAGAACATGTTAACTATTCTGGTTAACATGTTAAATATAAGAGCTTATCTGTTAACTAATTATATGAGGATTGGTCTTACGCAGAAATATGTAGATACAATCCCGTACTGCTTGTTTAATTCAGCGTTCTCTGGCAACTGCAGCCATAGCCGTAATCTGTCTAAGAGTGCCTCTGTTACTTTATCATCAAGTCTTCCCCCGCGGATCATATACAGTAGATCCGTGTATGTAATTGCGCTGTTATCAGTAGTTATGACATATACGTACCTTAACAAGAAATAAGTTACGGAGGGTTAAAATTTAAAACATGAAAAGTAACATCTAAACGCAAAAACATAACAAGCAAAAAACACAGTTTCACAGTTAATATTAAAGAGTTAGCATTAAACTACTTAACATATTATCTGTCGTGGATAACATAATAACACTTGTAGCTAACGTGTTACCTCTTGTGGCAAACATGTTAACATGAAAGCTAACATCTAAACGCACAAACATAACAAGCAAAAAACACAGTTTCACAGTTAATATTAAAGAGTTAGCATTAAACTACTTAACATATTATCTGTCGTGGATAACATAATAACACTTGTAGCTAACGTGTTACCTCTTGTGGCAAACATGTTAATTCTCGTTGCTAACATGTTAACTCTTGTGGATAACATGTTAACTCTTGTCGCTAACCTGTTAAGTCTTGTTGATAACATGTTAACTATTGTTGCTAACATGTTAACTCTTGTTGTTAACATGTTAACACTCGTTGTTAACATGTTAACCCTTGTTGCTTAAATTTAAACGTGAAAGCTTTACATTTTGAAATCAGCACTTACGGGCTACATTTCTCCTTGCAGTACTGCTCGAGCCATTTGTTCTCCTCAGCTGAGAGTTTCTCTGCAACATTTTTTGGTATTCTGTAGTTATGTACAAAAGCCCCAGCGCTATCTAACACTCGTAAGCTAAACGTGCATACATCAGGGATACCCTCATTCACCTCTTTTAAGGCAGCACGATCCACATCTGTTAAATACGTGCTTTTTAGCACATCCCACTTGCCAACACTGTCGTCATGGTAAACTGTTATTTTCTTTGGGGTGTCACCAAGCACAATGGGTTCATCTTTGTGCTCACCTTCTTTCAACTTCAATCCCTTAGCCCTCGGTTTCTTATCCTCAGTAAATGGTGTCCTAACCAGTTTACCTTTCTTGGTTGCTCTTTTGCTTGGAGCTCTACTCCTATAACCCACATATTTTTTGCTCACCGGCTTCCTCGGCCTCTTCGATCCTTCGCTGAGTGGAACTCTCTCAACCACACCTTCCTCCTACTACACCATCTGCTTGTCCTCCTCATCCTTGATCACCTCGTCTCTCTCTTCGCTCTTGCCCATTTCCTCGAC